TCATGGCAATATAAGAGCATAACTAAACAATAATTCCATAACTTTTGATAAACTCCAATATTGTCAATGAATTTAATAAATTCAAGATATCCAATATCTCCAAGGAAATTCACAATTTTCATAACAAATCACCAATTTCTACATTTTTCCAACAATTTAATCATATCACATTTTCCATTTCTCAAATTTCTAGGGTTTCAACAAAATCTAAGGCTCTCTCAATTTAAATACAATACTTTGAAATTTATATATCATAAATCATTTTGAGAAGACAAATTTGAACATTTGATAAAATATGAGCAAACCCTAATTTTTATACAATATATGAAAAAACCCTAAGTTATGTGATTTGTGATTCGAAACAGATTCAATTACTACAAGTCCCAAAAACACTCAAAACAAACAATCGAAATCATCTAACACGTATGAAAGTGATTTAGCTTGTCGTTTCACAATTGACAAATCAACATAAAAGATTTAGCGTAGAAAAAAATCAAAATTGGAGCACCTCCAATTGTGATTAAAAAAGAAAAAGAAAAAAACACCACGGGCTAAAAGTCACTAAACAATCTACTATGACGATAATGAAATTACACAAGAGTACAAGCAATTACCCAAGGCTCACTCAAGAATTGATTTCCACTCCTTGTGCCTCTTCCATCAACATCTCCATCTCCATCTCCATCTCCAGTGTTGAATCCAGAACACCCAAGTCAAATCCATGACAACGAGCCGTTTTGAACTCCTTCAAAGCCTTCAAGCTCAACCTTCGAAATCCACCGATGAACGCTCTAGAAAACTTGAATTAGAACAAGCCCCTTGATGTGTGAAATTCAATCCATAAAAGGGGACAAACTCACAAAATCATCGACGGAAACAATAGCAAAGTCTCCAGAAAAATACGCAAAAGTTCTCAAGTCTCAAGTCTTAGATCTGGAAGTCGTAATCCTAAAATATGCAACTTAGGCAGCTTTAAATAAAACAAAGTTGCAAAGACCGCTCGAGCGAAGGAAAGACCGCTCGAGCGGTGTGTCTAAGAGGCGGTGGAACAAATAGTACACCTATCAATTCGCTCGAGCACTAAAGTTGTCGCTCAAGCGGTCAATGAAACTTCCCAGTATCTCAAAGCAAAGACTGAGCTATTGAATGACCAATTTCTTAGCTTGAGCACAAGAACCTTCGCTCGAGCCGTCCATGTATATGAACAAAACCAACTAACCAATAATACAACTCAAATGTGTTTGCTCGCGAAATTGACAACATAAGAGACCTAACAATATACATATTAAAAAATTCTAATTTCTTCAAAATTCATAGCTAACAAAATACCACATAATCATGGTAAAACAAATATACAAAGATGGTAGAATCCCTACCTCAAACTAGAAGATGAGAAAGATGAAATTTGAAATTTCAAAATGTTACAAATGGCGATTAGCTCCAATGAAAATGAAGCTCTCAGCGTGCTCTACAACATTAATACTCAGATTTTTCTCAAAATCTAACTCTAAGTAGCTTAGATCTAAGGTTTTATGTGATAAAAGTAAAAATGAGAGAGAGAGAGAGAGAGAGAGAGAGAAGCTCTTTGTTAAGGAAGAAGAAATAAAAGAACAGTAGTGATAGAGACCTCCACAAAACACAACCCTTACAACCCCCGAAATGATCTGAACCATTCATGTCACTGTTAGACACAACTCCCAAAAAAAATTCAAACACATCAATGGTCAATATATCAATGAGGGTCATGGGAGTCCTCTTTTGTGGAGGTCCCAAACATTTTCCATAAAAGAAAAGAGAAGTCAGGGGAAAGGGCAGCCCCAGGTGAGCATGCCTCTCCTTTTCATAAAAAAATTATATATTTTATTATATATATATATTTATTTATGCATGCACTTATATATAAATCAATTTAAAATATATTTTAACAACACTATAATATTTTTTAACATAAATGACAAAAATGATATATATTTCATTTAACGGTACACATCATAAATATTCATAACTCTCTCATGGTAATAAAATAAATAATAATAATAACTAGTAAGTACAAACAAGTCATGATTTGAACTATTAGATCCAAAACGAATAAAATTTAATAATCTAAAATAATTCAGCATGTGAGACCAGAGTATGAAATAATTTAAAATGGAGTCAAGGTAGTTCCCACCATTTACATAATTAAATATTAGTGTAAAACCCGTGCTATGCGCGAACAAGTAACAAAATGTGATAAATAATACTAAACATATTAAAAATTAATTAAATACTATGATATTAATTTAGATGTGTATTTAAATAATATATGTTTATATAAATATGCAAGACTAATTAAGTTTTTTGAAATAAACTCAATTCAAAAGGAAGAGTAAGATTGAAATTCTATAATTATAAGATAAAAATTAAAAAAATTAAGTTTAAATTTGAAGATGAATATAGAAAGAGAAAATTAGATAAATTTTTGAAAAATAATAAACTCAACTGAAAATCTAGAGCAAGAGTGGATTTTGTAAATATAAGATAAAGATAAAAAAAATTAAGTTTAAATTTCAAGATAAACTATAAGAATATAATAATAGAAGAATAGAAGAAGGTAGTATTGGATAAGAGTGAAATGTTACCTATAATTTTTTAAAATTTGTATTAAAAAAATTAAAAAAAAAAACCTCAAAAATAAGAATTGAGTTGTAGTAAGTTAAAAATTAGATAAGAGTTAAATGACAACTATAATGTTTTAAAATTTACATTTTGTGTAGTTAATAAATAAGCATTTATGATATCTTATTATACAAATTTTAACTCTATTTTGTGTCTAGTACACATAATTTTTAACAATTTTTGTATTCTAAAGCTACTTAATTTAAAAAAAAAAAAAAAAAATCAAGGGATCACCTTTTTATTTCTTCTTTTTTTTTTTTTTTATGTGTGTGTCATTAACTTATAAATTTCAACAACTTTTGTACTCTGAAACTACTAAATAAAAAAAAATAGCAAAGTTAGTTTCATTTTAATTTTGTTTTGCGTCATTAACCTATAAATTTTATCAACTTTTGTATTCTGAAACTACTTAATAAAAAACAAACATCACTTTTCTTTTTAAAATCTTAGTTTTATGTGTTAAAAGCTGGCAAAGTGGCCTTAGCAGTGCTATGTACGAGTATCAATAAATAATCAAAATTTAGTTTTAAAATTAAATAATAATATAAAATTTGTCTAAAATATATAGTAAAAATAATTTATAATCAATTAAATTTTATTTATTTTTATCAGAGTTAACACATAAATGACTTATATATTTTTGCCAACGTGACCGTCACATAATCATTAAAAATTGTCTTGATCTATGCCCAAGAATCATTTGACCTATTTATTTATTTATTAAATTAGTAACTAAATATTTATAAGTATTTTTATTTTTTAAATAAGAAATATGAACATATTTTATGCATATCTATTAAAAAAATTTGAACTTAGGTAAAAAAATTATATATTTATGTTAACACTATGAAATAGATTAGTTACATATATTCATATATTAAAAATTTATCTAAGATAGAGCCGCCCTAAATTATTTCATATTTTAATTTTAATCTTAGTAAAAATTTTGATAATAATGAATTTAAACATTATGTATAAATTATATCATAATTTATCGATTTGTGGCCGGTATGAGCTAGTTTGGAGGTTCTAATATTGGATTAAACATTCAATAGGCCAATTTTTTAGTCCCATTTTAATGACCCGAACTGTTCACTATTTAGGGTTCGTCGAATACATCATCTCTGCAAAAAATCAAATTTATTAGATATGGAAATCATGTGTTTGATCAATTATGTATAAATCGTTTACTTTCTCACCATTCATTTTTTTCATACAAAATTGATATAAACACATGGTTACCGTTATCTGATCGACTTGATTATTTACAAGGATGATATAATCGATGAATACTAAAAATATGAATAGTTCATATTATCAAAATGGGGCTTAAAAGTGAACCCACAAGGCTCAACAACACCTCTCTAATCCGATGGAGGACTGGTGTGAAGTCCATGCCATGTTAAAGAATCAATAATGTTTAAATTTTGAGTTAAAAGAATTAATTATTTCCCATATGCATATGTATGAATGTATCAAAATCATGCATTAATGCAATCTTAGGAAGTAATTTTGAAAATTCAATCTGTATGGTAAACATAAATTAAGTAATTTGAAATGGTAATTATGGTGGCATAATTTAAGGGTTTACTATAAAACTCCATGAATTTAATTATGAACTAATTAAAATGCAACACATAATGACATTTTGTATTTTAATTATTAAAAAATTAAAATTAAAAAAAAAATTTGAGTTGAGAGTTTGAACCTTAAAGAAAACCTATTAACGTTTACTGTTAAAGAAAATAATAAAATTTGATATACACGTTGAGTAGTAATGGTTATTATGGGAGAAAAAAACATGTTACGAAATTTTAATTATATAAATTATTTTATACTTTATGGTGAAGAATTTAAAATATTTTAATAGAAAATAGGTTAAGATGGAATATTTTTGAGTGTGATTTATTAATTTTTTTAATTAAAAACTCCTTTTTTTAGTGTATGATTTATTTATTATTTTTTCTCAATTAAAAACTTCTTCCTTATTTGATGGTTAAAAAGGAATGATTTTAGGAATAAAAAATACATTATTGGTTTAAAAAAAAAATTAGCGTGTAATTTATTAATTATTTTTTCAAATTAAAAAAACAAAAAATTTGGATTGAGCCTTATAGCCCTCTTAGCTCATCTCACTAATTAGTGTATTAATTGATGATGTGACACAATTTAAGATATTTTTGATATTTATAACATGTATAATGAGTGAAGTTAATAATAATGTCATAACTAGTGTTGATATGCTAGTTAATACACTAATTGGTGTATATAACACCACTCCAATTCATATATAGATTTAATAACTAAAACCAAAAAAATTACTAAGTAGGTCCCAAAAAGTCTAAATCAAAATGTAATTTCATCAATTTAAATAGAATGATCTATGACCCTACAACTATAATAATAATTACACAATTAAACAATTTGAAAACTCATACCAATCCAACTCTAACCAAGACACAAACCCGCAAATATACTAAGACAATTACCAAACAGGTACCGAAAAAGAAAATACAAATCGAATTAGACTCGATTCGTTACACAGCCACGCACCAACGACTTAGCTGCCCATAAATTTCTGAATTACGGGACAGCCGTAAAGAAGATAACCTCTATTTATTAACCTACTTATATGAAGGAATCATATGCAAATACGCGAGCTGTATGATCGCCTCTCTAAATTGGTATGATTGCCTCTCTAAATTGGTTCAGGAATCTCGCCCCAACATGTCACTCCCTGCAACAGTGCCCTCAATCGAATCTCTACACCAAACTCATTTGCCAACTTAGTGAAATTTCATACTACTGGACACCCTTTATTTGTAGGCACCTTAACAAGTAGCTTTTCGCCACCATTGTTGATCATAATTTTCAATGTATTCTTTCCTCGAGTCTGACTACGAACCCATCTATTATCACCTGATAAGACCACCAAATTTTGTTAGATGTCAACATATGAAACACATTGACGTATGATGACTACATAAAATTTTATATTTCATTATTGAAACCTACCTATATTTCACTCTGTATGAGAAGTACCTTCGGATGATAAAGGCACCTCTGATCTAGACATTGATGGACGATGTTTGGAAGGACGTCCTAGGACCATATCTGTAATATGACATAATAAAATGCAATAACTTAGCGGTAAATAACTAAAGCATAACAAAATTTTGTTAGAAGCAAGCATATAGGATAGGGGATAAGACAACCACCAAATGTTCTGGAGCAAAATAGAAATTTTATATATAGTAAAGAAAGGAGCATCAATAGGACTTGAAACTAAATTTAAAACAATGACAAGGGCAGCAAAAGAAAAGAAAAGAAAAGGAAAAGAATAGGAAAAAAAAAAAAGAGCAACAAAACAAGCACAAAAAAACCAAAACAAAAGAACAGCCAAAAAGGGGGACAACTGACTTCACCAAGGGCTTCATCCCCTTCTGATCTAATCCATCTCCACAGCATTCTTCACCCACAATGGGACCTCACAGCATTTGTCACCCCCTTGAATCTGTTTACTTAAAAACATATATCTAATTACATGTCTGAATTTCACCATGGGGAATTTCAAGTGGATTTAAACAGATTCATTTAATAGTTCACATACAATACATATGTATCTAATTACTTCAATGAGGAAGCAAATACTATCCCATTGAACGACGTTAGAAGAGCAACAATGGCATGTATAGGGGAAAAAAACTTGAATACTACTTGTAAAAAAATCTATTTATGAAAAAAGGAAAAGATGGAGAAATATGGGTAGTAAATTATTGACCATGTTGTCATTCTGTTCTTTTGTTTTTTTTCCTTTTGTTTTTTGTGATAGTGTTCTTTTGCTCTTTTAAGTTTCACACATTGTCACATGGGGCCAGAGTGTGAGCAAACATGAATATAATTTTGCTATGTATTTGATTAAATTGGGTCCAATCGCATTGTTGCTCTATTTTGACAATTAAAATAAAAACCATCACTAAGGCATGGCACATGGCAGCCAAGGTCAGCACTTGGTGCCCCAAAGGAATGGCAGCCAAGCCTAGAATGCTAGGCAGCAAGGCAAAATTGCCCAAGGTGCCCAGCACAAGCCCAACACATGCAAGTGCACGTCCAAGGCAGCGGCAACACTTCAGTGCCATTTAACCTTGCAAAGCAAAAAGTGGAAGTGGAAAATCAATGTAGTTCAAAAAAAAGTTTATAATCACCAGTTTCAGCAAGATTTATTAACATTTATCTATCAATCACTACCAGAATGCTTGCAATGCAAAACTAATAACAAGTACCAAATAATGACAAATTAATACCAAATAACATTGTAGTGTATTTAGTTAGTCATGGTTCTGTGGTGAAAAAAATAAAATAAAATAAAAATCCAAATAAGGAGGTTCTATTTTCCTCCTTATTTGGTCATGGTTATAACTACAATATTATCAAATAATGACTAGATTCCATAAAAATAAATAAGCTATAACTTGAGGTTTCTTTCTTGATCAAGTTAAATTTAAGGGACAACTTCAAAATAAGGAAAAGCTAAAATGGTGGTCTCCCCTTGGAGCATCGAAATTCATGAAAAAAACAAATAATATCCAGAAAATACCTATCAATTCTTATGAATGGTTGAGACACAAACTTCAAAATAATATCAAAAATAAAAACCTAAAAATAATATCCAGATAATCGACAAATCAATAACAGATAAACAAATCGAAAGAGATTTTGATCAGTTCCTTGCAAAAATCTCAATCAACATATCGATTTAAGGTTTAGAAAAACAAAAATCAAAAACCAAAATGAGGTATTTATGAGTAAAACGATAAAACCTTTTGGATTAGTTGTTGCTATCGTTTCAATAGGTGATGTAGTATTATTTCTGTCGTTTTAGTTGGTCTTGGTTTTTTAGCTTTTCTTGTTGTACTATTTTCTGCATAGTCAACTATACCTAAAACACAACATCAATTTAATGACTGAACACAAAATTCAAAAAAAACAACAAACATTGATTGAAAGAAATCGAGCGAAAAAATTATGAGAGCTCTGTAATTATAAGAAATAATTGTTTCTAAGTCAATAGGACCAGATCCGTAGAGAAATTAGCATATAAAACAACTAATTAGCATTTCATCAAACAACTAATTCGTTCCAGCATTTCATCAATCAAACAACTAATTAGCCTATAAAAATGATACTAATAACACAAAAATTATCAATGTAAAGAAATTGGGTTTGATCAATTAATTATGGTGAGAGAGAGAGAGAGAGAGAGAGTGTGTGATGCATTACCTTGAAATTTGAGAGAGTTGCCTTCAATTTGGTTTTGTGATGAGTCGGATTGGAACGATAACGACACATATAGAGTGAGGAGAACGACACATATAGAGTGAGGAGAGAGGCAATTGGTGTGGGTTAGGGCATGGAAATAGTGAAGGGAAAAGATAAGTGAAGACGAGGCGTGAATGGAGGGAGAGAGTAGAGGGAGGGAGGGAGAAATGTGCGCGAACGCAAGGAGAGTAAGAGAGGCTGGGAAGGGGGAAAAGAGGGACAAAACAATGTCATTTTGGGGTGCAAGGGTAAAAGGGTCATTTAACATCAAAACCCATGAGTTGGTAATATACTTTCTACTATCCACTATGTTATAATTCCCATTCTTTTCCCACTGATATGTAACAAACAAATTATGTCCCCACTGGGAAGTAATTCCCCCCTTTTTTTTTTTACTACTTTTGGCGATTTAAAGATATTTGTTGCAAAATGTTACCTTTCAACAACCAATTTTTAAGATTGTTGCCAAAATTTGTCACTGGAAGTGTAGTTTCTTGTAGTGAGTTAGGAAGACTTTTCTAGATGAACTCAAAGGCTATAAAACTCAGTAATTATGAGAAATAATTGTTTCTAAGTTAATAGGACCAGATCTGTAGACGTTTAGTAAAACAGCCATATCTCCTTCGATACTTACTGGTTTTGAGCAAAAACTGTGGCAAATGAAAGCTAACACATATACCTAACTATTCCAAGAGGCCCTGTTCAAAATTACATTTTGTGGAGAAAATGACATTCAATTAAAGTGGTTGTCGCTGCTGTGTTGCAGACAACTGAGGAAAATATTTATTTCGGGTATAAAATGTCATCCGATGATTTTATAAAAAAATACATATAAAATACATGATAACAAAGCTCCAATACCTTCAAATCTTAAAAATGGGTTTCATAGAATTTATTCAAGCCTTTACAAGTTAGCAAAAAATCTAAACAATGCTGAAAATCCAATTTTTTAGTAAGGAAGACCATCAAAACTCATTTCCGCTCACATACAAGATTATTCAAAGATATATAGCATCTTATGGATGAAATAAAACTTGTAATAAAGCCAATCAGAAGCTATAACCATCATATGGATGCATGCAAGAAGAGATAGAGCTCAAAGATGCCATGCAAGTCTCATTCAAGCCAAGAGGATGAACATGCAATGGGTTCTTTAACTTCTGCCCACTATCTTCATATTATTAATAGATGAACTAATCTAAAACCTATAAATCAAGTATGTACACATTAAGGAAGACTAGAGATGGTGAATCCTACCTCAAAAAACTTGAAAAAGAAATGCTAAGTGGTGGAACTCCCTACTATTTTTTATTTTTTATTTTTACCCATACTATGACCACGAATTCCTAGTGGTGGAACTCCCTACTTACATATTATTTTTTATTTTTATCCATACTATGACCAGGAATGCATGCAGTACAAGGAATTCCTGGCATCTTGTAGAAAAAGAATATAAACATGTAAAGTCTTTTTCAGAATCTCATTTTTTTTATTCTTAATTATACATAATCACTAACAAGAATTTGGTTGCCTCTGGCTTGTGTGATTTCTATGAAAAGAGATTCTTCTCTCAAATATGTCAGCAGCTGCAATACAAATTACCTTCTTGGCTTGCTCCAAAGTACAACCCTCTACAATGATCTGACAATCTTCAAACCGAAACTCAGTGATCATCAGCCAATCATATGGGTTGGCCTAATCTCACAATCTTCGAGATGTCCAAATTATGTTTCTTACTAAGTATGCAACATTACTAGAAGCGTAGAGTAGCTATTTGATTGAACAATAAAAATTGAACTACACAATAAATTACATAATAAAAAAGACAATAAATAAAATACACATTACCAAATAAATCAAAGAACTTCTAAATTTTCCCAAAGAACAATGCTTCATACAAGCTAAATATGGATCGTCATCATCATGAGATAGAGTAGCCATTTACCGAACAATTAAAATGGAAACTAAACAGTAAACTATATATTTAAAAAAATTGTATCTAATTAAATAATAAATAACATATGCAGGAAGGGAAGTAAAGAATACCTAATTTTATTTTTTTCCGACACCATGCCATCACCAATACTTCCAAATAAACCTATTTTATTACAAATGAAAGAAATACAAAATGATTTACTTTGGATTTAGGGAGAAAAAAATATGAAAACATTTACTCTCTCTGGAATAGATCCAGAGGTTAATTAATATATGCTAATTAAAATAGTGTTTATAAGTGATAAACAAAACAATAATGGAAATATTGAACCTGAGGATCTAGATCAAGATGAAGCGAAGAAAAATAAAATGATATACAGATCAAAGCAGTGAAAATCAAGTGAGAACATTACCTGAAAATTGAGGCAGCATTTCTCGCCAGAGTAGAGAGAGAACCAACCCTAACTCTTTCAAATAACAAAGTGAATTGGAGAGAATGAATGTTTGTGTGTTATATTCTATTTGTGGGTTAAATATACAGTAATTCAGAGTTGCACCAAACCTATTAATCAATTGGGATGGGCTGCCCTCCACTCCGTTATCGGACTGGAGGATGCTATTGGGCTCGTGGAGGTTTATTATTGGTCCTGTTTCTATAATTTGAAATTATTTAATGTGTAAAAATTATTGAGTATTAAATATTTGTAAAATATTATATTGATCAGATATCAATAATTATTTCATCGGATCAAATTTCTGTCAATCGTTTATTTTTTTACCATCTATTTTTTTAATACAAAACTAATTTGATCACATAGTTATTGATATCCGATCAACGTGATATTTTACAAACATATAATACTCGACGAGTTTTACAGATTAAACGATCAGATTATCAAAACGAGACCCATGATAGGCCTCTACAAGTCTAACAACACACTCCAATTTGATCACACTAAAAGGAAGCCAATCCAAACCCTAATCAATTAACTACTTTGTCCGTTTTGATATTATAAATCGGGGTGTATTAAACTTTCTGTTCAATGCCTAAATATATAAATCAAAATTTATTTAATTCTTAAATTACCAATTGAATTGAATTTAAAAAAATTTAACTTTTAAAATAATTATAAAAATAAAATATATGTTAAGTATTGTAATTATAAATAAGTTAAAAGATTTTACCTAATTAAGATTTTATTATATAAAAATCTTAAATTTTTATTTTGTTTTTAAAAAATATTTTATTTTGTCATGTTTAAATTAGCATTTGAATATGCTTTGACAGTCTTACTAATAAAAGTATATGAGTACTAATTAGTGAAAAAGTTATAAACAATTAATTAAAAATTATAAACGAAATTTAATATATAATACTAGATAAGGCAATCATATAGCCATTGTAGAAGATAATAAGAAAATATTATACATAATTATTCTTACCCTTATAAAAAAATTCATCATAAGAATTGACGCTCACTTTTCAAATATAGAATAAAATTTAAGATTTTTTTGAAATAAAATATTAATTAGATAGGGTCTTTTTTACTAATTTATAATACTTATCCGCTTATATTTTATTTTTGAAATATTTTTTAAGAACTAAATAGATTTGAATTAAAATAATTTAGGGACTTAACATATTCAATCGATAGTTTAGGAATTAAATAAATTTTGATTTATATACTTTAAGGACTGAGTAGACTCAATCGATAGTTTAGGAACTACATAGACAATTTGATAATAGTAACATTTTCTAATCACAAAATGTATGACTTTGTTTCTCAACCATAAATTATCGTAATTCTTACCAAAAAAATATGTAACATTTACCATAAAGGAATTCACTTATTTTTATTTTTTATTTTTAGTAAATTTTTTTTCAAAATTATTTCAATTTTTTTTTGATCCGTCTAATGTAAATGAATCTAAACGTAAAAAGAATTTCAATAATTGAATGTCAAAAAAAAAAAAAACTATTCACTATGTTTGGTTCCATTTTTCTAAAAACAGTTTCCAGAAAATTCTACTTTCTTATTTTTTGTGTTTTTTTGTTTTTACTGAATTTTTTAAATATTTTATGCAAATTTTTTACTTTTCAGACACACCTAACATAAATATACCTAAAAGTAAAAAAATTGTAAAAAAAATCTTTTAAAAATTCACTAAATACCATAAATATAAAAAAAAATACAAGAACTCAGTACATTTTTTGTATTTTTATGTATTTCTTAATTTTTTAAAATATTTTTTCACATTTTTTTTTACTTTTTAGATACATCTAAGTAAGGTACATCTAAAAAAGTAAAAAAAAATGTTTAAAATTTTAAAAATATTCACTAAAAACAAAAAAAATACGAAAACCAAAAAACTCAGTTTTCAAAAAATTTAATCCAGAAAACTCAAACCAAACACATTCATTATTTTTTTTTTTTTGTGCTTATTTTGATCTCTTTTTTTTTTTTTGAAATTTTTTTAATTTTTTGGTTCTACTCATCGAGCTGAATCTAAAAGTCTAAATCTTTTTATTTTTTCTCAATTAAACGTAAAAATATATTTTAATGATGTCAAAAATATATTTCAATTAACAACTCAGGTAATTCTATCATTGTATAGGAAAAGAATTAAAATTTTTATTTTTTCTATTAATTATATTAAATAAAACATTCTTATAAATATCCCTTATCATAATTTGTCATTTAACAGCATTGACTAAAGAAATAAAATTCTTAAATACCATCCTATCAAACAATAAAATTTTTAGAAATATTATTTGAAATATGTTGTTGATATCATTAAAGTTGTTAATTGACTTAATTGATTCTTAAAAGAAGTTATTTGTTATGCTATTTTAAGGGGTGTGATAATTTTTAAAATTACAAGAGATAGTTAGGATTTTAATTAAATCTTAGAAGTGCATTTGTAATTTATTTTTATTTTTATTTTTTTAACTCCCCATCAATAATGCCTCATTTTATTAGCATTGGACTTCTCTCGAATTCCATTGAGAGAAATGGGTTCTGTCTATCAACATTTCCCTCAAAGGCTAGACTTTTTGCCATTTGTGCAGATCCAACCATTTGAATTTTAAGATTCATTGATTAGACTACTCACGTAAAAAAGTTAAGTTAATTAAATATTGATAGGTAAGAGCATTTCCAATTCTGAACCAAAGTTTTCATCAAATCTGAGTACAAAAATGACTTTTTCCTCAATCTGATACCGAGTGCTCCAACGGTTGATTTTCATCAAATTTTCATTAAATCTGTGCTGGGATAACCGGTTGGTCGACCGGATAAGCCAAAAATTTTTTTTTTGAACTTTTTGAACCTTTTAGTGGTCAACCGGTTAGTCGAACGGCCGGTCAACCGGCTGGCCGACCGGTAAGGCAAAACTTTTTTTTTTTTTTTTCAAGTGTTTGACCTTTTTTTGGAACTGTTTGAACCTTTTGGTGGTCAACCGGCCGGTCAACCATCTGGTCGACCGATTGATCTCCCCTAACGGTCATGCACAGTGTTTTGATGAAATGTGGAGCCTGTCTTCATTTTGGTGAAACGTTTGGTGAAATCTCGATTTGATATCAATTTGGTGAAACCGTTGGAGCATGAAAAAGTATTTTTTTCACCAAATTCTAAATTTGATGCTAGATTTGGTTCATGGTTGGAGATGGTCTAATTATACAATCATATAATATTTGTTTTAAAAATAAAAGATAAATATATTTTTGAGAATAAATTATTTTTTAATAAATGTGAACTGATTTAATAATATAGATATCTAATTAATTTAATTATGTATATAAATAATCTATTTAACAAATATTATTGTAATGCCCCCAAGATTTTAAACAATAAATTAGACATGATAAATATATATATCCAACACACAATCCCAACTTGATCAGTCAACTTTTTCGATTAGTATTTCATTTCAGAAGAGTATACAAAAGTGTTCACATGTAATACATGTTCACCTTCCTCAAGAGATGAATCCGTAGCATGTGTAACTATATAAAAGTGAAGGGATGAACAACGAAGTAGATGTCTTGAGGCTAAAAGTTCCAAAACTTAAGTCTTTTTACACAAAAAAAGTTGTCAAATTCAAACATATTAAGCTCTTGGCCTGCAACAAAAACCATTCAAAAGCAAGAGCCTCTTATCCTTAATACATTCCATACCTTCAACTAGGCGTGATCACTGCATCATTTCCTGCACACATCCATTAGGGGTGATCATAAAGCTCAGTAGAGATATATTAACAAAGTATATGTGTTTTAAGCAATCTCATTTATATGAATGCAATGCCATGCTATGTTCAAATGTCAAAATTCTCCATTTCCTTTGAAGTTCAAGCAATATGTTATTCAAGTTCATTTTTTTCATAAAAGCCAAAAGTTAGACCATGGGGTGGTAAATACGACTAAGGCAATCCCTAGGCTGGTGCCTACAAGTAGGCATAACAAGCACTACCAATTCTTCCACTTTACCGGCTCCTAACTGGAAGGCACGTGGTATCTTCTCTGCACGTGTTTTCAGTCTTTCACCTTAGACACTCAGGTCAACTTAAATAACACCAGTTACACCTCCTAATCGGACTTACCAAATGTATTTACCCCAAAACATTTCAATAACAATAGTTGTTTTCCCAAAACAATGAATTAATTTCCGAGTCAAGACCGTAAGTGAATAATGTTCAAGATAATGCAAATGAATGAAACGAGAAATGATCACATATAAACTTCTTCTTTGTACAGTATCTCCATAATTTTCACATTTGTTCGAGTAAAACTTTCATGGTTCAATAATTCTCAAAATCATTGTAAGGTTCAAATCCATGTGACACATGGCATTTCCTCATATTCACAATCAACATCCATTTTAAATTCTTCCAAAATTCAAACTTATATATCACATATTACCATAATTGTTCAATCGAAATTCTTATTCCTTTCATGTGTGCCTCAACAACATAACCACCTAGGGACGGTTTCTTCAATTTCTCAAGAGATTTAACATCAATTTCATGAATATTACACCCATTTCACTTCCCCCAAATTTCTCCATAACCTAGGGTTTGATCAAAAGAGCGTTTTTCCTTCATTTTCGAAATAACGACAAGTATGCATCCCCAAATGGCTCATAGTTCACAAAAATAATTTATATTGGACCAAATCATGAGAAAGAAATCATTTCTCTAACATTCTCTAGATTCAACATCTCAAAACCCCAAACCCAAACTAGAATTTTTAGTGAAATGAATAAGATATGCTAAAACCATATATATAACTCAAAGAAAATCCCTACCTCAAGACCTTGGGAAGAGAAGGTGAAAAGCTCCGAAACCAATGGCGTTAAAATCTGATCTCCATCGTACACAATGTAGCCCTTGATGAGCTCTCTAAATTTAAAGAAGACACTAAGGTCAAAATCTCAATGGATAATGAGAGATCAAGGAATAATTAGAGTGGGTGGAGGGTTTTCTAGAGAGAGATGATAGAAAAGAGAGTGACAGTTAATGTAAAGAGAGAGTGTGAAGTGAAAAGTGATG